CTATTAGCCATTCTTAACATGATATAAACTCTAATCCTTTCAAGACATGTTAAGATAGACTTGTCTCTTGAATCTAAAATGTAAGAGTTAAAGGATTCACAGAGGTTGTTCAACAACAGATCACACTTAGAATGCGGCTCAAAATGAGATCTACTCCAATTTTTGGCTGGTCTTTTGATAAGCCACTTCCACGCCCCTTCATCTTGCTGTTTCATCTTCTCCATTTCTACTTCATACCAGGGAATGGTAGTTACTCTTGCCGCAGCCCAGAGAATGTTTTTCAGTGCAAGTCCAGCATGCTCTGTCCTGAAGTTGCTGTAGATATGCCTAACACACATTCTGTGCTCAGCTGTTGGAAGCAATGTCTCAATTGCAGGTATTTTACCTTTTTGCTTGTCACTTATAAACACCAACGCTTTCCCATTCTCAATTTTTAAGTCTGCAATCAAAAGTTCAAGGAACCAAATCCAACTACTTTTTGATTCCACCTCTACAACAGCATAAGCAACTGGGTACATTCCATTATTCCCATCAACACCAACGGCTGTTAAAACTTGCCCTGTGTAAGGTGCCTTTAAATGGCATCCATCTATACCAACGAGAGGTCTACATCCTGCCAAAAATCCCCTCTTACAAGCTTCCAAACATACATAAATTCTTTGAAACACAGGTACATCACCATTCATCTTATTCTTTATAATCACAGTGCTGCCCTTGTTAGCCTTCTTCAATTCTTCTGCATAGTCCCATAGCCTCGCATATTGCTCCACATAGCTTCCTTCAATGATCACCTTGGACAAGCTCTTTGCTCTATAAATCTGATGCCTTGAAACATTCATATGGTACTTTTCCAATACCTCAGACTGGAATGCCCCTACATCCCACTCAGGATTTTTCCTAATCTTGTCAGCAAACCTTATTGACAGCCACCTTGAATTAGTATATTTTAGTTTGTCCACTCTAGTACACTCGTGCTCTAAGGAGAGAGTCTTTATGGCAAATGTCTGCTCATCTCTATCTATCTTGGAAGCAAACAGAATAAATGGGCATCTCGTGTGACCTGCACACTTTGCTTGAATCCTTCTATTATCATTCTTCACCAATTTAACATTCCTCCCTTGCACAATTGCATACTCCCTAATAGCTTCCTTTAGTTCTTCCTTATTGGCAAATTGCATTCCAATTCTAAACTCTGGATTTCTCAAATCAGCTTCTTTCCTAAACTGTTTAAAAGTTGGCATCTTCCATTTCCTCTTGCTTTTCTTTTTTTGACCATCTTCCTCACCACCAGAGCTATCACCATCATAAGGAAATCGATCACTATCTTCACCATCACCTGATATCTCCCCTGTAGCTTCATTAATAGGCATTTCCTTCATCTCTTCAAAACATGCTGCCTCTTCAACATTTGGTGCATCGTGAACATATGCAGCCTCTTCATTACCATTTTCTTCTTCACTTACTTCATAATCACTG